GCGGGGCTGGCAACAAGCCAGTGCCTGGAGCAGAAGCGACACATTTCCGAGGGAACGCAAGTCCTACCTGGCAGAGCACGTGGTTTCAGCACGGCAAACCCCCTGGAGCACCCGATGCCACACCAGCCCGGCAGGCTGCGCCCCAGACATCCCCACATGAGCCCCTTTTCCCAGCCAGACCTTGATCCCAGCTGCAGCCGCTCCAGCAGGCGAGAGCACCGGCATGGAGATTGCAGCGAGACACATCCCACGCTGCAGACACCGCCATGTGCAGATGCCCACGGAACATCCCCATTTGCACATGGTGCAAGGACATGAAGCTACCTGCAGAGCGCCAGGAAGGGGACACAATCCAGCCCTGTCATCCAGCACAAGAGATGCCTGCACACAGCTTAAGCTTACTGGTACCCAAAAGAAGTACTCAAAAAGAGGCATTTTGGCGCTGGTTACACTCCCGGTCCCACTGGGGCAGCCCCCTGCCTGCGGCATCTTACCCTACCCAGGGATAACATAGGGTCAGCCCCAGCCCCAAATGCTCTGGGGCTTCCTCCACAATCAGCATTATCACATCCCACCGCTGGGATCCAGTCTCAGCCCGGGGCTGCAGGAAGAGGAAGAGGAGTGGGAAGGTCGGCCGAAAGAACAAGGGGACGAGGAACTGTGGGATGACAGTGGCCAAAGGGCAGATGAAATCCCCTCCAGCTGCCCAGCATAAGACAAGCTGTCGGAGAGGTTTTCTAGCCGCTGTGCTGCAGCAGGGAGCAGAGCAGTGACAAATGGCTTCATGTGCAGTCTGAGCTGGGGACAAGTTCAGGTGGACAGTCTGGGGATCCTGCAGGGCAGTGTCACCACCCCAGCTAGGAACCAGCAGCAGAACCGAGCTGATGCCACCAGCCAAGCCCAAAGCCACCTCACACCGGGCAGCCCTTCCCAGCGCCTCCCACGAGCCATGGCAGCAGCGCTGCTCTTGGGAGAGGCGTAATCTCAGCATGGGGCCTCAAAACTCATCCCAAAGCTTTGCAGGTGGGGAAACTGAGGCACAGGCAGATGCAAGGACCTGCCTGCATCACCCAGCTCACCAGCAGCAAAACCAGAGAGCCACCTGAACCCCAGCCTCTGTGCACCAGTGACACTGTTTTCCCTTCCTAAATGCCCGAAACGAGAAGCTGCCTGGGCTGTATTTACCTGGCCCGTTCCCTGCCAGGAACCAGAGCCGAGGCAGGGAGGAGGGATCCGAGCCACAGCCTTCCTGGGGATGAACCCAATGCAAATCCAACCCCGAGGCACCGCCAGAGCATCCCTTCCTCCTTACAGCCCTCCAGCAGCAATGCTGACGGGCTGGTGTAAGACTCGTACACAGCCCGAAACCTGCTGCCCCACTCCCCCGGGCAGGACCTGGAGGTGAAGCTGCTCCTTCATGCGCTAAGTAGCTGCATTTGCAGGAGGTCGCCATGGGCAAGTCGCTCCCTCCTTGGATCTCTGTGCCAGAAAGTGATGCCAAGGGGAGAAACTCTACCGCAGTGAGCAATGCACAGCTCACCCCAACCATGGGCTTCTGCCAGGGGAAAGGGAGGGGAAAGGGGGAAACCACAACCATCTCCATCTGCCTGGGGCCAGAGCGTTTGCTGAACCAGCGCAAGATCCTTTTCGCCCAGGGACACGCCGACAGGTCTCGGCAGGTTGAGCCACGCTCCTCCAGCCGACTGCTCGCCCAGAGGCGGGCTGGCACCACGGCGCAGGCAGGGAGGTGTGAGTTGGCAGCGCTGCCAGCACCAGACCGGCTGTGCCCCCCTTCCCTTCCCTGCCACGCCACCCCAAACACACGTGCCCATCAGAACGGCCTCTGGCCGCCTGGGAAAGGAATCACCAAAACAAATCCCACGCAGGTGTTTTGCCCGCGTGGGCACACACGATCCAAAGCAGCCCGGCTCAGAGGATTGAAAGGGCTTAAGGGACACAGAGATCGTCCCTTGAGCCACCTTAACCCTGCAGGAAGGCAGCAGCCGGCAGCCAAAATGCACGTCCCTGCTCGGCTCCCCCTGCGATGCTTCAGTGGGTGTAGCGGATGGGCACGGAGCAGGGACACATGCCCGTCCCCTCCTTCCCAGCTCCAAGATGAGCTGGTAAAATGTACCTGCTTCGCACAATTGAGACATAAATCACTAAGGGCTGTTATTAGAGGAACTTGGCGGGTGCAGATGTGTCAGCCCAGTTGAAAACATCTTCTTCATCTTTGCTCAGCTCTCCAAAACGGCACGGGGCAGGGGGAAGAGGTATGGCTGGGTGACTCACCACTGAGAGGGGATGTGACTGATGGGGAGATGAGATACCAGCAACCGCACAAACCACACACCAAACGTCTGGAGGCCGGAGGTCGCGCCGGGGGAAGCGGGAGGGAAATGGGCCCCACGTGCTCAGCCCGCTCG